CTGCGCTGTGCGGCGCGGCAGCCGGCCACGGCGCCCGCCCACCAGCGGCTCTCAAAACCGGGCCGGGGCGACAGCCGCCGCCGCCGCCGTTCGGGTGCCAAAGTTTGGAGCCCGCAGCGTTGCCAGCGACGGAGGCGCGTGTGTGCCGTTGGCTGGCAACGGTGACCGTTGCGATTGGCTGACGCCCGCTGTGACGTCAACAGCGGGATAGCAAGGCCCATTGGCTGCAGCCCGTAGACGTTGACAATCCTTTCACCAATGGGACTGGACGCGTTAGCATGCAAGCCCTCCATCATTCAGTACTCTGCCGAGAACACCGCCACGACCGAGCCGGCCAGGACCCTGGACGACGGACAAACAAACCGGCGCTCTTTCGCCAGCAGATCGTCCGTACGGGAATTCCGAAGGACACCCATTGAGCACACTGGGCAAAGTCCAGCGCGGTCACGGCAACCTACCAAGCATCAGTACGGCTTCGTGTACCAGCCCGCATTTCTGATCAATACGAGCCATTTTCACCGCTGTGTTGGCGTCTTACCCAGGGAAAGGGGGGGGAGAGCGTTTGGCAAGGTGGGTTGGGGGGGTGGGGGGGGGGGGGCGCCGTCCTTCATCTCTGGAAAAAATATAGCATTCACGCTGCGGTTCTATATGGAAACGGAAGCCGCCCCTGCTCCTCCTCTCATCTATTTTCTCATGGACTCCTCCAACAGCGGCCTCACATCCTGAGTCTGACATCCTCACATTCTCAGATCTTCCAGCGCACTGCCAAACACTGGAAACGCACGACTCTCCACATCGTCGCAACACGCGGACTGTGACCTTGGGGTCGCGCCATTCTGGCCCGCCGGCCCGTCATTAGGCTTCCTGCCGACTGCGTCTGATCTTACCCCCCCCCCCCCCCCTGTCTGCTGACACTTTAAGAGTGGTGTCCTTGATTTGTCGGAAAAACAGGTCAGAAACTGGATCCGGTCGAATAAACATATTCGGCCAATTATCGGGTGACAAAATCACCGCAGAGGACGCGGAACTGTAGCGGACACGGAACTGTAGAGCCGGAACTTGTGGAGGACATGGAAACTATAGAGGAGGCGGAACTGCAGAGCCGGGGCTGAAGAGGACACGAAACTGTAGGGGCGGAACTGTACGGGACACGACGCTGTAGAACAGGAACTGTAGAGGACACGGAACTGTGGAGCGAAACTGTAGAGGATACGGATCTGTAGAGGACACGGAGCTGTACAGGCGGAACACAGCAACCGTAGAGGCAGAACTGTAGAGGACGTGGAACTGTACAATAGCGGAACTGTGGAGGACAAGGAACGGTAGAGGATGCGAAACGCTGCAGGACACGAAACTGTAGCGAACGCGAAACTGTCGAGCACGCCGAACTGTAGAGGAGGCGGATCTATAACGGCGCGGAACTGTAGACGCAGAACTATACAGGGCATGGAACTAGAGGACGTGGAACTGTACAGTTCAGTACGCGGGAGCCGTGACGAAGCCGCAATGGCCGCTGCATGTCTCTGTCTTCAGTCAGGGAGGGGCCGGCCCAGCCCGAGCCGGCCGGAGCCGGCGAAGATCGCGGAGATGGTCCCCCTCCCCTCCCCCATCGTCAGGGCCCGGGCGGAGCCCGACCGTTACCCGCCCGAAGCGCCGCACACACCCCGGCCGCTAGACACAGCCCCGAGCCGCGGCCGCCACAGTACGGCTAATGGGCCCGGCGGACCTTGGCGTTCGCCCACGTCCGACGTCTGCGGCTGCGTCTGGCGTCTGGCGTCTGGCGTCTGGCGGCTGGCGGCTGGCGGCTGGCGGCTGGAGGCTGGCGGCTGGCGGCTGGCGGCTGGCGGCTGGAGGCGGAGGCTGGAGGCTGGAGGCTGGAGGCTGGCGGCTTGCGGCTGGCGGGCTGGTGGAGGTCTGGAGTCTAGAAGTCTGGAGGTGAGGTTTCATGTCTGGAGTCTGAAATCTGGTATCTGGAATCTAAGATCCAGGGGTTGTGAGGTGTGAGGTGTTAGGTGGAGGTTGTGAGGTCTGTGGTCTGGGGCGTGGTATCTAGTGTCTGGTGTCTGGTGTCTGGTGTCTGGGGTTT